CGGTGCTTGGCTAACTTTCTCCTTATGCAGTCCAGGCTGTGGCATAGAGGGTTGCCCACATTCGGGGGAGGGGGGCATCGTTCCATTTCTGTTAACCTAATCAAGGCAGTCCCCCATGGATGTGGCCAAAGATTTGTCTGGGGGGTGATACCAAAGACTGTCATGCTAACAATGAACACTAACCATGACACACGGTAAAGCTGGGCTTTAATTCCCAGACTCCAGGATCACAACACATTTGGGGATCTTAAATTAAGAGGGAATGGCTCACCTCTCCAGTATAAAATAGTCCCTGGCTACAAATCCAGAGAAACAATAAAAATACTCGTCCTCAAATGAGCTAGCCCCTAAGCTGAGCTCTCCTTGGGCAGGATTCCCACTGGAATCTTGGCCTTCTGCTGGTCAGCACTAGCACTGTCTACCTGATGTCCCCTGGTTCAACAGAAGGCTTACAGCCACTCTCCCATCAAAGCCACCTGTGTCTCTGTCATCACATATGAAGTCTGGCTCCCAAACAGTCACACCTTCCAGCCCCTGTTCAGCTCAACTCAAGCCCACATCCCAAACCATCTGCAGGTCAGATGCAGGCCTCAGACCCATGGACAGAACAAATCAACACTCTGCCATAGCCAGGCGGCCTGAGCTGGCATTGTGAACTACCGCTGACCTCTACCAGAAGCACAGGACAACTACAAGGGCAGTCCCCATCTGCTATACAGATGTTCACCAAGGCCTTGAAGACAAAACTGGGCTGAGCCCATGGAGATGAGTACAGGGAAGTGGGGATGCTGCTGCAGACCCCATAGGCACACGGAGGAAACGGTGGCCTGAGAAAAGCCTGCTCTTCCCACACAGGCTCCTGCCTCCTCCTGGCCTCAAGCTGAGGTCAAAGATACCACCACATGCTCAAGAGGGTGGTCACAAGCCTCCTCTGCCTCCTCCTTTCTTCCATTCTACTGGGTTGGACAGGGCCCCTATTGTTCCCGAGATCTCAGAATGTGGTGCGTGCTTTGATTTCATGCTACTGGTCCTCATCTGTGAGAGACTCAATGTCTGTGTTATTAAAGAATGCAGCATCTGGGCTTCAGAATAGCCTTTCAAGACAAGTCATATATCTCAACAGGGAAGTTGTTTAAACTGTCCAACTGGGGTTTAATCAGTGCCCATTCAGGGTGATGCTGGCATAGACAGAGGAGGAAGAAATGAAGGGAGATGAGAAAAAGAAGGGACTGGCTGCTTTAGATGTTCAGAAGCCCCCCAAGCTGGTCTCCAGAAGTGAGATAGCATGCGAGGAGAGGCAGATGGGTCAGTGACACAGGCTGAGGAGTGAGCAGGTAAAAGTCTGTGAGACACTCGTTTCACTTCCAGGATTGACAAGGAGGTAAAGTTTTCTCTCCTGCCATGTGCCACCTGAATGAGTTTGTGTCAACTGCTCCCAAGAGCCCTTCCCCACAGGATGGAAGTGATAGGAGTCTGTGAACTGGTGGTGTGGATCCAGTGATGTGCTTCCCTGACTCTCAGGACAGTGTATGAGGCAGAAGCAGCAAGCAGACGGGACTGCCATAGCTGCTGAGGTGTGGCTGGTACTGAGTGCTGAGTGTGGGCTGGGAAAACAGTGTACACAGACACAGTTTACATTGCAGAAACTTACACAGGAATGTGTCATGGATCCTGGGGAGATGGCTCAGTGGATAGGAAGGTTTGCTATGCACGCATGAAGATCTGAATTCAAATCCCCAGCACATGTGCAACCCAATTCTCTGAGCCTTGCCAGCTGCCAGCATAGCTCCAGATTCAACAGGACATCATGTCTCAAGGGACTAAGGTAGAGAATGATGGAGAAGGACAGCCAGTATCTTCTCTGGCTTCTATAGGCACCCCACCCACCCCCACACACCCCCCCACACCCCCACACACACACACCCCACTCCTACCACCACTGGCCACTACCACCATCAAATACCTTCCCTCGATACAAAATAATATATTATAACATCGTTTGATAAAAGTTAAATTTGAATTGAACAAGAAGGCAGGACTTGCTCACTAGATTGCAGAGGAGAAATTAAGTAGCAACTAGACATTTTAAAACCATTTGCAGCTGACTTTAAACTCTAGCACTAGTCAAAAGTTAAATATAAAAGTTCAATCCAAATGAGTTCACTCCTCAATGCTGTGCTAGAAAGAGAACAAAAAGGAAGGAAAAGCAATAAATTTGACTAAATTAAAATCTGTATAAAAAGTGAGAAGGGCTGGGCATGGTGGCACACCTTTAATTTCATCACTCAGGGGGCTGAGGCAGAAGGATCCCTGAGTTTGAGGCCAATCTGCTCTACATAGGGAGTTCCTGGATAGCCAGAGCAATGTACTAAGACCCTGTCTCAAAGATAAATGAATAAACAAATAAGGACTGGGAGATATCTTCATGGTTAAGAGCAGGTAGTTCTCTTGCAGAGGGTCCAAGCTCAGCTCCCAGCTCCCATATTAGTCATCTTACAGTCACCAGTAACTCCAGCTCTAGAGGGAGTTCTGGCCTCCGAGGGCACTTGCACTCATGTCCCAGACCTGTCTCATATGCAGAATTAACAGTAAACTAAAATATTTTAAAGTTTTGATAAACAGTTGAAGAGATATCCGTAAATTGGGGATAAATATTAATTACACAAACTCTCATGTAAATCAGCCACACAGCACTAAGATGCCTCTACACGATGGATCAACAAATAGTGAGGGCTCTTGTGTTGCCATGGAAATGCATCCTTCAGATCTCCAGGAAGGTTAGTGTTGGGAGGCACCACTGTGGCTCTGAAATCTGTCACTCCTTCAGCAGCAAAGTCACATCTGCTGCAGTCTGATCCTAGCCAGTGCCCAGGGTGGCAGGAATACTGGGAGAGGCCGTTCCTGGGGGTGGCGGGAACTGGCACTCTTCGGAAGGGCAGAGTTCGCCCTAGAACACCCATCCGGGCTGCACTGTGGTTGAAGGTGCCCTTCCACTAAACTCCCTTCCTTCCCTGATTCTAGGGACTCAGTCTTCACAGTCTTGGGACAACCCCCCATCCACCCAGCCCCAGGCTTCTCAGATCCCTTCCCTAGTGCCCTTGCTGAAGATATGCTAGCCAATGCCTTGCAAGGTCTGTTATGTCTTGGCTTCTGTCTCTCAGAAGATGTGGACTCACAAAGTAGAGGCAAAATGATTGCTGGTTTCTTAGCATCGAGAAAAACATGGCCAGCCTTCTAGCGCTGGAAGATTCCATTCAAATCGCATTAAATGTCATGAAGCAAGATCTGTGCCCCCCCCCCCCAGCTCGACTATCCCAAGCTTGCCTGTTCAAGGAACTAAGCAGTCTTGCATAATTCCAGGGTATGGAGCAAAATGCTTCAGATGGTGTGAAAAAAAAAAAAAGTACCGTGTAGAAAGCATCTCAAAAGAAAAATGATTATATTTTGCACCGAGGGCATGTTCTTGAGTAACAGAAATACTTATATAAATAGGCTCTCAAACATTCATCATCCTTTTAATCAGTCTCGAAGGAAATAAATAGTCATTTAGATTAATGTTGGCACAAAATGGAAACTTGTATTCTAAAACTTAGTGTGGGGTCTTCCTAAAGCCACACCGCTTCACCAGCAAAAAACCCACACCTTTTACCTTAAGGGCAGTATGCTGGCAGCCGCTAGCCCTGGACAACTCTAGCTCACAGGCCAAGGCACTGAGGCCCAGGCCTATCTCCCCATTGCAGAGCAGTGACTCCAGCATGGTAAGCTTGGGAGTACCCTGATAGGCAACCCATCTTGATCAGAGCTGCCCCCTGCCCTGAGTCCTTCCTGCCCAGTGCCACTTGCTCACTGTCTTAGTTTCATTTCCTGTTCCTGTGATAAAATGCCCTGACAAAAGAAAATTAAGGCACAAAATGTTTATTTGGCTCATGGTTACAGGTTATTGTTCATTGTTTTAGATAAATCAAGTTGGGAGGAAATTAAAGTATATCCAACGCCAAGGGCATGAATAAATGTATGTGTGCTAACACTTAGCTCTCTTTCTCCATTCATACATTCCAGGATTCCCTGCATAGGGAATGGTGCCACCTACCGTGATTGCATTGTCCCATCTCAATTAATGTAATGAAAATAATCCCCTAGAGACATTCCATAGACGAATTTAATCTACACTCCCTTCCCAAGTGACTCTAGACTGTCAAGTTTACAACTAAAATGAACCTCATCCTTCTTTTCCTGGATAGGTCTCTATCCCTCCTGGTGGCTTTCCCGAATCAATCCTGGTTCCTTCCTCTCTCGGCTTCTACAGAAACTACTAGTGGAAAGACAAGTCCAGATCTCCCCATGGCTTGGTTGGCTCTTTGGAGCTGTGCTGCAGGAAAGCCCTCTTTCCTATTCTTTTCCCTTCTCTAGCATCAGGGATGTGCTCTCCAAGCTCACACACACACACACACACACACACACACACACACACACACACACACACACACCTGTTGCACTGTCCTTTGACCTCCTAGACACTTCTGGTAAGTCCAATCCTGCTGTGGCACCTGTTTGTCAGAAGACACTGACCAATATGTCATCCTTGCAGGGACTCAGCTGTTTCCTCTGCAGCCAGGCCTCTGTAGGGTTACAAGTTCTGGTTTGCTACCAGGAGGATGTGATGGTTAACATTGCCTGTCCACCTGACGGGATCTAAAACCATCTAGGAGGCAGATCTCTGAACATCGCTGCAGGGGACTCACTGGATGAAGCTAATGGAGTTGAGAAGACCCATGGTGACTGTGGGAGAGTCACTCCATGGACTGAATGAAAAGGAGACCGTGAGCTGAACACCACACTCGCCACTCTCTGCTTCCCAGCTGTAGATGTAATGTGACAGGCACCTCACTTTCTATCCACCATGCTTTCCCCGTGACAGACTCTATGCCCTTTCTCCCTAAGTTGTTTTTCATCGGGCGTTTTATCACGGTGACAGGAAAAGAAACAGGAACCACGAGACTTCAGTGGAAGCGGCAGCTATGGTTGCCTGTGGAGCACACAGGGCTCCTGGCACCATACTGGGAAGAGCAGGCGTGGAAGCGGCAGCTATGGTTGCCTGTGGAGCACACAGGGCTCCTGGCACCATACCTGGCTGAGCAGGGAAAAGAGAAACAGCCACCTGGGCAAGGCTGCCTTTGGTCCAGATGAGTTGTGGATGCTTTTGACCCAGCATCACTGGCTCTGGGTCACAGCTTCTACCTCTAGTTTTGGAGGTGGCAGCCCTGAACCATGAACACATCAGATGTGGGCCTCCATGGTCATGGTTCCCCGCATTGTTTTTCAATCACAAGTGCCACTAACTGAAACCACTGGTCCTTTCCCCGGGTCTGAGAAAACATTTGATGTGTGACCTTTGGCTGTCAAAGAGTCCCAAGCTTTCTAATCAGTAAGCTTCTTAAAGGGCTGCCTCGCAGAGATGTCTAAACTGTGACGCATATGAAAGAGTCCTGCAAAAGAGAAGTATGCGTGTTCTTCCAGCCCGAGGGCCTGGCTTGGACACCCCAGGTTTAATTTATGTCTCAAGACAATTCTTCCAGTGTGGCCCAGAGAGGTCCAAAGGTTAGACTTTAGGTTCTGTGTGCCACAGATGCTACCATGTATTCACCAGCTTTTTCCTATTTTTTTTAAAAAGCATTCTTTTAAAAACAATTTTTAAAAATCTCAGTTTATAGTCAATACAAAAAGAAAACACAGCCTAAGCATAGTTTGCTGACCCCTGATCTAGGGTTTTGTTTTTCTTCCTATAAATAGACTTTGTGAATGAGTTTGTTCATTTCCTCTTTTTCTTTACTCTTACTCTTCACAGTGGTGTGGGTAAAAGCTACAGCTTGGGAACATCAATTATATGAGTTGTTTTCTTATTGTTGGGACAAAATGCCCGACTAAGGTCACTTGGGGGAAAAGGGTTTACCTTGGATCAAATTTGGCACCCATAACCTATCAAGGTGGGGCGGGCATGGCAGGGGGAGAGAGGGGCAGCAGGTTACACTGTGCCCTCAGTCAGGAGGCAGGGCAATGAGTGCAAGCTGCTCAACTGGCTTCCCCTTTCACAGTCTGAGTGTCCCTCTTCCCCCATGACACCACCCTCATTCAGGGTAAAACGTTGGTTAAACGTTTCTGGAAACTTCCTCACAGGCATGCCCAGAGGCATGTGTGCCTCCTGAGGTAATCCAAATGTGGTCATGTTGACAGTAGAGATGAACTGTCACCAGTTTTGTATGTATTTTAGTACATTCCTGGGAAACGTGTACCTACAGATACAGAGCTACTTGATGTGTGTGCCTTCGGTTGTGGTGGAGATAGAGTGTGTTTCCTCAAAGGCTCGTGAGCCTCTGTGCACATCCCCGGGGGAGTCCAATACCTTTGAAAATGGTGGCTCTGCTTGTAGGGAAAGGACAGATGAGTCAACACTGAAACTGTTAGGTGGTTTTCCTAAAACGTCACACTGAGGGCTTTGACTACAACACAGGCACTCAGTGAGTTATTCTGGTCTTGGTGAACATTCCTCTACCCTGTGTAAATTTCTGCTGACTGCCTTGAAAGTTCTAGAAAGAGACAAATAAAAGGTGCAAGTTAGAAGTCCCCAGTCACATGTGCCTGGAGCCCATGGTTTTCCTGCATCACAGATTCAAACAGAGAAGATGTCCAAGTGGCATCGTGAAGGGAACACTTCTAGAACAAATTGCAGCCAAGTAGCAAATTGTTAATTTGAGCCACTTCCACCTCCACAGCCTGGACTTCTGCTGGTCCAAGTGTGCAGAGCAGCTGTGAAGGGAAAAAAGCAGGCAGAATGAACAACAGCTGTGACTAATCCTCAGGATTAAAACTGAAAAGAAATCTATGCCAACCCTCCCTCAGGCTGTTTGCTTTGCAGCATGGCGTTCCTTGAGTGGTGCCTGAGCCTCTCAAGGAGGCTGGGTGGGATGGAGAGGCAGTCAAGCCCTGAGGGACTGAGGGTGCCTCACATCAGAGAGAGCCTTTGCATGGATCAGGGTGGAGCTGTGCCACCCAGACAGCAGAGGGGTGAGGGAGCCCTTCTGTTTTCCCTTTTCTTTTCAACGGGACAAGGCAGGATTGTGACATTCTCATGGAGCTGACATGGCCCTCGGGAGAATAGGAAAGATTACTTGTCTTGTTTTTTTTCCTTTTGGGGAGAATGCCTTTACTGAAATACAATTCATACTCCATACACTTTACCCATTTTAAGTATAGGAGTCGATGGTTTGGGTGCATTTTTACACAAACACTCTCATATGAGAGGCTGGGTTTACATGGTTAGAAAAGGCAACCATTTTGGCACAACAAAGAAAATAGCTAGCTACACAGAACCTACAGCAGTTCTCCTAGGCAGATATGGGGAGCCCTGAGGTGCCAGAGACCTGGGACAGAGATTAATCACCACTCATGTCCAGAGCGGGAAGCAGGTGGAGGACGGGCAGGAAAGAGACCAGTTAATGACGGGTCCAGGACTAAGAGCAGGAGTGTGGTCCTGCTTGGCCTGTGCTAGGAATAAGCTCACTTTGGGGTGCACAGCAAGAAGACTGTGCTTGGGGGGTGGGCACAGGGAAGCTTTATGGAGGAACTGTGGCAGCCAGTCACTGAGGTACCTGCCTGCATTAGCTATACAGAAATGGGGACATTGGGGGAGGAGCAGCTGGGGTAGAGGACAAACTCTTCAGGGAAGGAGAAGGAGGAGACAGAGGCCAGAGGAAAAAGAGCAGGAACAGGAGTCATGCCTCACTCCACACAATGACACGCTTGCCATTGACCTTATCCTCACAGGAAGAGACACTGTAGCGCTAAGACACTTCACATTGAGCTGATAGCTGTTTAGTCACAGCGCCAAACGCCATTCATCCAATTATCTCCTCCTCACACACACATAGACATAGGCACACACACACAACACAGGCACACACATAGATACAGACACAGAGACACACACACACAGTCACACATACACACACACACATAGAAACATAGGCACACATAGACACAAACACACAGAGACACAGACACACACAGAGAGACATAGATACACACAAACCACCCAGAGACACACACACATACAAACACATACTCATAGACACACACAGACACATAGAGAGACATAGGCATACACGAACACACACACACAGGTACACATACAAACACACACACATAGAGTTACAGACACACACACAGACATAAGTATACACAAACATACCCATAGACACACATACGCAAACACACACTCACACATATACATGTACTCTCAGGCACACACACAGACATACACACAGAGACACAGAAACACATGCACAGACACACAGAGAGATATTGGCACACACGAACACACAAAGAGACACACATAAAAAAAACACACAGGCATACATAGAAACATACACACATAGACACATAGAAAGACATAGGCACACATGAACACACATGGAGACACACATAAGAAAACACACAGGCACACATAGAAACACACACAGACACACACAGAAAGACCTAGGCACACACGAACACACACACATCTTCAATGTCCCAGCTGTGAAATCCCTTCTGTGATTTCAGTTATCAGTCATCAACCGTGGTCTAAGATTACCAAGTGGGGGAATTTCAGAAATAAACTACTCACAAGTTTTGAAGCACATGGTGTTGGGAGTGATGTAATCACCCTTCATGCAGTCCTGTCTAGAATGTCAGTGGCCCCTTTGCTCAGTCACTTAGCAACCATCTTGGTTATCAGTGCCGTGTACAAGGTTGGGTTCGAACTATGATTTGGCACTCCCTCAGTGTGGAGAGCTGTGCTTTGTCGGCCCAAAAGATGGCGCCGGCTTCTGCCCCCACCATCCCGAGGGTGAGAGGTCTTTGTGCTGGACAATTTCTTATCTGGCTAAGGCTGGGCTTCAGGCCTGCTTCCGTGTATGTGGACCCTTCTGCTTTCGCCACGTGGCAGTCTGGGGTGGGCTACCAAGGGCCTTTTAAGCAGAGGGTCGGGGTTCCTCGGGGCCCCTAGAAGAAGATTGTACAAGGCTCCTGAAATAAACTACAGGAAGAAGAGTTCCCGAGTTGTGTCTTTCTTGCTGGTCAAGATTGGCGCAGCACCTCAGTGTGTGTGTGTGTGTGTGTGTCTGTGTCTGTGTCTGTGTGAGTGTGTCTCTCTGTGTGAGTGTGTGTGTGTGTGTGTGTGTGTCTCTCTGTGTGAGTGTGTGTGTGTGTGTCTGTGTGTGTGTCTGTGTGTGTGTGAGTACACATGTGTGCATGCATATCTTAATTCACATCTCAGAAACTGATGGATTTGACCTGAAACCAAGTCTATAAAAAGGATATTCAGGACTTCCCCAAAGTTCATTCCTCAACTTTTGGCTTTCAGTTTTGAGCCAGTTTGGGGTCAAATGGATGAAGAACTTATGAAAACAAACCTCACAAGAAACAGTAGGGATTGTAGCAGACTAGGGTTGGAGTGTGGTAAATCAGGAGAGGGAAAGGTGGGTCTCAGCCCTCCAGGAAGCCAGATTTGAATGGGAGTGAGAATGTGTGATGATAATGTCTGCTTCTACCATTTCTTTGGAACTACAGAATCACCCAAGGCCCTTGTTTGTTCCATTCCTCTGTGAAGATGGACAGCCACTCCCACTTTAGTTAGTCCTTCTTATTAAACTCTTAGGAAACCAGATTGAACATAGGCTGTGAAAAGGCTTTAAAAGTGTAAAGCCCTAAGCATGTTAATTATGATTATGCCCATATGCATACCAGGCCATTCTAGCAATGAATGAGAAGGACTGGGGCCACTCACTGCCCTGGCTGGGGCTGTTGGAGAGAGAACTCAGAATCTGGCCCCAGAGCTGTCCCAGGTTAGTTAGAAGCATGAAACTCCCAGAAACAAACAAGAACTGGGTGCCATCTGAGTTTCCAAGGGATTTTCTGTTACACTGCCATCCTGGTCTCTTGTCTCCAGAAGCTGTCTCTCTCCTTCTTGGTGAACCCATATGTGAGGTGGGAAAAGGAGATGTCACTTTTCCTTGGGACACCTGAAGCTCTCTCAGTGAAGAGCCCACAGTCTCTAAAAGGCTGCAGGCAGGACCAGAATATTGTTAAGCTGAA